AGAACATCATTCGAGCGACATTTACTCCGACAATTTTTGGGTAAACGTCCGTTGAACTGAACAAAAAAAATTTCATGAAAATTGTTGAGCGTTTATTTTCCCTTTGGAAAATGATCAAAACCGAGTGAATTCTTTTAAAAGGCGCAAAAAAAATAAAGAGCAAATAAAACATCGGCCGAAACAATTTCAGCCGAAGAAAGCTTTCAATACGAAAAAATTATGATGCTTCAGAGCTGATAATTTTACAAATTACAAAAACGTTTTCTATATGAATGAAAACTTCTTATTGCACAAGAAAGGTCGGTGATGTGGCAACTAAGCCGCCGGCAAAACGTAAGCAGAAAATCGATCGGCCGATGACTTGTTCGAAACTGAAAATTTCTAGTTTAAAAAACAAGGGACCTGGTCGGATTCTAACCAAGGCCACTAGCCGTCCGAAGTGCAGTGGTTACTTCGACATCAAGTGTACGAAAAAGGTAAGAAATTTGAATTATTCAAGCTATCAAATGATGAAACTATCAAATGACCAAGCTATCAAATTATTCATGTGATTTGTTAAACTAGTTTCAAAAATCTATTTTAAAAATCGAAATAGAAAGTTAATACGAAAAAAGTCCAACTGGAAAAGATCGAATATAAGTCGAAAGAAGTGAGCATAAAAAAGTAACATAAGCGCATAAGATCCAATAACCGAAAAACATTACCTAAGTGTCTTCACTGCGTTCATTGACACATTGAAATGCCCATTAAAATTCTTTGAAATTCGAGAATATTTTTTGATTGAATCTTTAGAATAAGATAATTCGACAGACAAATTTGGATCAAAACAAATTTGTTTTCCGTTAAAATTCCAATAAAATTTATTCGTGTTTTTGCAATTTCGAGTATTTTTAACGGAAAGAAAATTACCTCTCGTTCAACAGTTGAATTAGAAGAACTTCAGACAACCTAAATAAGTGAAATTCACATCACTGATTAGGACTAAAATCGCACTAAAAAGATCATCGCTAATTAATGGTAGTATGATTCTATAGAAAAATAAATTTGCGAAGTTAAACTATATAATCAACAATTTCGAATAAAAAATAGAGTCACAATTGAACAATAACTATCACTTGCGTACTTGCAACGTAGTAGCTAAGTTATCAGCTAGGATTATCTGAGACTTTCAGCTCCTCACATTCCGTTAACTGTTGAAACACTGACCCTGTAGTTTTTCTGCAGAACATGATGATCCCTATAAGCAACAACACCATTCAATGTTCTGTCTCACTTACTGAATGCTTAGATTCAACTCAAATTGGGCATAAAGGGCATAAACAATTTATACTATTATTGAGAAGTTTTTGTTCGGAGATCAGCTTGTATGATCAAGTCTATTATCGGAAGCTAACCGGCTTTAACAATAGCCGGAATTGTTATGTGTGAGCTCAACAAAGAAGATTGCCATCTGAGCACTTCCATCTGTTCAGAGCTTGCTCCTCCTCCACTTGAGCTTACACTATCACCTCCGCCACCAAATCCATTTCCCATTCCTTGACTATTCTGTCTAGCCAGTGGTGAGTCATCAAACCCGTTAGCTTGAAACACCCTCTGATCATCTTCCTCGTTGTCATCGTCGTCCCCAGCTGACCTTACGTGACGTCGTCTCTGATTGGCCATCACGGTACCATTGGTCGAAAGATGATTAGCCGGCATAGGATTATTATTGTAACGGTTTATGTCGCTGTTATTCTGGTTTGGCGATTGTTGGTTAGAGGAATGCGAAGTCATTTTGGCGAAGGAGTCTATTCGTTTTTTCATTCTCAGCAGCGAGCAAACCTGACCTAAAACGAAGAATGTCTTGTCAATCAGCTGTACTAACATCTATATTATATGTTATTGTATCAGTTCAAAAACGGTTCATAAAAACGGTTCGTACGCACTATTTTGACATTGTTAAAGACCAACCTAATACATTGTAGTCAGTCCACCTCGGATCCTGATTCGGATGTTGTGCCAGTACCTTGAGATTTGAATCCTCGTCATACCGTGACCATGCGTCCTGCCACCTTACTAAGAGCTTAGAATCACTGCAGAGATAGTATCCCAGATTAGCAACGTGGACAGTTTCTTCTGGATTTGACAGGTGCACCTTGGACCCCTCAACTCCAACTACTGTCTGGTAGTGCCAGCTGTCGCTAATGGGATTTTTGTCACTTGCTTCTGGGTGACGTTTTTGGTAATTAAGTGTTAACACGGGCACACAACCTAAAAAAGAAACATTTAAAATTTGAATGGAAAGAGAAACCTGAAAACGCTACTTGCAAGGGTATCTTTAGGCACGCCAAAATTTTTGCAAACAAAAACTAAATATTCTATTTTTTCTCTTCAACTTGTACTCCCTGAACATAGCCAATCAAAGATCGGAAAAGAGTAATGAACGGAAGTTAACATAAGAAAAAACTGACTTTCTTGAAAAAATCTCAACTATCGAATTTCAAAGAAAAAAATATATGCCCTTTTAGCTCTAAGCTTCTAGAACAATTTATGATTGGCGCTTTTTTGATAATACGAACCCAACTTGAGAAAACTGGATCAATAGATGAAGTTTTTAATCCACTGGGAAATCTACTTAAAATCCACTTTCGAAACTAGAAATCGTTCACGCCATCTCCACGTTCGTATTTGCAGAGAATATTTACGTCACTTTTAGCAGACTAATTTCAATCGAACTCAAAAGTTGCATTATATCTGCATTATCATTAAGTGCATCAATATTTTAAGACTTTTTCCTGAAAAAAAATCATTTTTTAAAGCGTAGCATTTCTTTTAAATCTTAATGTTGATTTAACACAACTCGGTAGCATACACTCATGTCAGGCTGTTATCGATAATATTATACGATGTCTGAATAACCTCAATAATTAATGGATAAACAAGGAGAAAAAACCGAAGGTTTTGAAAGTTTCCACTTTAGTTTTGAAAATACAAATTACAATTAAAAATGGAAAGAATTAAAAATAAAAGGTAAAAATTGCGGTTAGACGAGCTCTTTTATTTTAATGACATTCGGGTATTATGCGATAAGAAAAGAGTTTTTTTGGAAGATTCGGAAAGTTTGCGAAAATGCGATATCACAAAACTACAAGGATTTGAAAGTTCAATTTTTTAGGGTACAATCGCAACCCTAGAGTGATCATCAGTTAGCATATAAATACTGGTTAAAAAATTTTAAAACACTACTGAATTTGAAGATTAACTACTGAAATATATGCTGTACCAATTTGTTATTTTCGAGTATACAATTTTTTTGAATTTATGAACGAAAACATTATCTTCACTTACTGGCATTTTTCCAATATTCTCCGGCAACAAATCATTTTCAATCATTATGTTCAGTAGTTTGGTTCCTCTGTTAATTGAAGAAAAAAAATCGAATTTTATTTTAACAGAACGGAGGTTCAAGGTGTATACTTTGAAATTCATGTTTTATATACAAAAAGTTTTATAGAAAACAGGGAATTCAGAAACCTACACAAATAATTCATGCACTGTTAGTATATGTTCTCAATAAAAGATTGTGTAATTGAATCATATTTCTTTTGAAACAAATCATGCGAACAATTTTCGCCGGAGCATTAAAATGTGATTCAAAAAAGCAAAACTCGTGCCACTATATACGAGCAAACCATAATTAATTATTGGCTTTATATTCTACTGATAGTATTTGAACAAGATCGCAGTTGGTATATAGTATCTCATTTTTGAAATCATAATGCAATGCCTCCCTAATTTCGATTTTCTATCCGAATGAGTAAAAAAAATTCAAGTTAGCATCTACACGGACACCAGGATACCTAAAAGAGGTTTCAAGTTTTAAAAAAAATATCAAGAATATTGACACTAAGATTAGAAGCAATTCTATTTTTTTTCAAAACTTATTCAGACAATTTTATCTGAGTTTAAAGTTATTTAGTCAAAGCCAGGATGAAATAATTGTCAACTCAAATTGAAAGTTCTCGAAATTTGAGGTATCGCACGAAATATTTGTATCTTCGGCAAAACGAAACACATTTGAATTTGAAACTGCATGACGCATATCATTTGTATAAAGCAGAAGAGGACCTGAAACAGAGCCTTGAGGTACACCTGTAGTGATTGATAGCCAATCAGAGAAACAGTTATTCACATTTACACATTGAGATCTGTTAGACAAATAAATTTCCAACCATCTGAAACAATTTCTACGTACTCCATAGCACTCGAGTTTCCTCAACAGAATTGAGCGATCAAGCGTATCAAAAGCCTTTTTTAAATCAACGAAAAAAATACAATTTTTGTTTTAATCGACTCATAATCTTATTGGTTCCGTTACTTCTGCTAATGCATCGACTTTTGCAAACTTCTCTCGAAAACCAAATTGAAGATGATACAAAATTTCAATTTTTTCAAGATGATTGTACAACGAAGAGTGCAAAATCTTTTCAATTACCATACTGTAGCTACTCAACAGTGATATTGGGCGTTAATTGCTTACTTTGATTCTCCTATTAGCTTTAAAAAGTGGTAGAACTTTTGCTATTTTGAGGTCTTCTGGAAAAATTCCAGCAGCAAACGAAAGATTTGTCAAGTATGTTAATTAAGGTGCTATCACAACAACTTTTGAAGAGAAAAATATTACTATTTTCATCAATCCAATAAAATCGTTTGGATTTTAAGCTAGTTATAACATTGATTACCTCAAAAAACGAGCAGTTGAATAGATACGTTGATTGACTTGCTATATCAATTTGATACACTGGATTAACTTCCACATGATTTCATTTCTTAGCCAATTTGAAGCCAACAGTTGAAAAATAGCCAATTGAGCGTTAGCTATTGATGGAAAGTCAGACAAACTTCTTTCATCTAATTCGAGTAATTTGACTTTTGTGGTTTTAGGACTTATACCTTTTTTCATTTAAAATCTTATACACTTGTCTCGATTCTCCAATAAAATTACAAAACTTACGGTAATAACACGTTTTTTGGCCTGTCTGATATTTGTTTTCTACTTTCCGACCTTCGTTCAGGAGTTTATTGTTTTTGCCGATATTTCCCTTTTCTGATTTCACTTATTTGTAAAATTGATTTCTTTTCAAGATTGAATTTTTCAAGCTTTTATGAAACCAAGGATCTTTCCCATATGGGAGCAAACACATTTAAAGAGTTCTGATGGCATAGATTAAATTTATGGTGGGCAGTTTTAATGTTTTCATCATTGATTAGGTTGGAAAACTTGTTTTGGAACACGCGGGAAGTCATTCATTTGATTTTCTGTTGTTAAAAAGACAAATCTGGTTAACAATAACCCGATGAATAATTTTTCACTGAAAACAAAACTTTAAGGTAACTGGATAGTGGTCGTAAAAGCATTCAATTTTCATTAATTCAATGATAGATATTCGAAATTTCGGAAAATTAAAATGATCTAAACATGTTTCTGAGGAATCACTAATTCGAGTTGCATACTTATTCAATAAATCAAAGCCATTGGCTGTCATTGAATCAAGGGAAGATTGCTGTAAATTGTTACTCACATTACTTAAAGTTTCGATATTGAAATCTCCAGCTAAGATTATTGGTAAATTAAATCGAGAAAGAATTCCTAATTCTTTATCAAGCTCATCGACAAACTGAATTTTACTGAAGCGTGGTCGAACATCAGCTTATCGCAATTATCAATTCATTTCCACCAATTTCAACAAGTTTTGAGATGAATTCTGGCAAACCACTATTAAGATATTGAATTAAATTTATTTTTTCGTCAAGTTGTATCATAATTGATTGGTAAAACAAATCGAGAAAGATTTCCTAATTCTTTATCAAGCTCATCGACAAACTGAATTTTATTGAAACGTGGTAGAACATCAACTTATCGCAATTATCAATTCATTTCCACCAGTTTCAACAAGTTTTGAGATGGATTCTCGCAAACCACTATCAAGTTATTGAATTAAAATTATTTTTTCGTCAAGTTGTATCATAATTGATTGGTAAATTAAATCGAAAAAGATTTCCTAATTCTTTATCAAGCTCATCGACAAACTGAATTTTATTGAAACGTGGTGGAACATCAACTTATCGCAATTATCAATTCATTCCCACCAATTTCAACAAGTTTTAAGATGGATTCTGGCACACCACTATCAAGTTGTTGAATTAAATTATTTTTTCGTCAAGTTGTATCATAATTGATTGGTAAATTAAATCGAAAAAGATTTCCTAATTCTTTATCAAGCTCATCGACAAACTGAATTTTATTGAAACGTGGCGGAACATCAACTTATCGCAATTATCAATTCATTTCCACCAGTTTCAACAAGTTTTGAGATGGATTCTGGCAAACCACTATCAAGTTATTGAATTAAAATTATTTTTTCGTCAAGTTGTATCATAATTGATTGGTAAATTAAATCGAAAAAGATTTCCTAATTCTTTATCAAGCTCATCGACAAACTGAATTTTATTGAAACGTGGTGGAACATCAACTTATCGCAATTATCAATTCATTCCCACCAATTTCAACAAGTTTTGAGATGGATTCTGGCAAACCACAATCCAGTTGTTGAATTAAATTATTTTTTCGTCAAGTTGTATCATAATTGATTGGTAAATTAAATCTAGAAATATTTCCTAATTCTTTATCAAGCTCATCGACAAACTGAATTTCATTGAAACGTGGTGGAACATCAACTTATCGCAATTATCAATTCATTTCCACCAATTTCAACAAGTTTTGAGATGGATTCTGGCAAACCACTATCAAGTTATTGAATTAAATTTATTTTTTCGTCAAGTTGTATCATAATTGATTGGTTAATTAAATCGAGAAAGATTTCCTAATTCTTTATCAAGCTCATCGACAAACTGAATTTTATTGAAACGTGGTGGAACATCAGCTTATCGCAATTATCAATTCATTTCCACCAATTTCAACAAGTATTGAGATGGATTCTGGCAAACCACTATCAATTTATTCAATTAAATTTATTTTTTCATCAAGTTGTATCATAGTTCCACCACCTCTTGTTACACAAATATTCGTGATAACGGTATGAAAACCTTCGATTCTATATATAGAGATCGTCATTTTCATTTAACCAAAATTCTGTTAAACATATTATACCAATAGGCGACTCAAGACTACTTAGAAATGCTCGCACATAACACTCACACATAACTCAGCTGTTGATTTTCTCTCAATAATTTTTTTTTCATATTAAACTGATTTTCGCAGTCCTTTTCGCAAACTGGTCAATTATTGGCCTACTCTTGGTGCCGCGCCCTGGGAGTCAATGCGCAAAAGATAAATCTTTTTCATCAATAGTCGCATCAATTTGTCTTGCTCAGTCAATCACCTTAGTCAGCGTTATGTTCCTGTTCATATTATTTGCGATTTTCAGATTGCACAATTTCCTCACTTAAGCTGGTTATTCTTACATTATCTCACCGACCATGAACCTTCCGATAGAATTTGTAGCTTTGAAATGTTCGCTTGATCTGTAAATTTTTCTTCCACCACAGAATGGAATTTACTTCTGAAGTCCACCATTGCTTCATCAACTAAACGCTTTATTGACTCGTTCATTTCTGTACGGATCGTTTAAATAACTTCAATTTTAAGTCTTTCCATTTGTTTTGAGATGATCGTTACGGTTGTCTGGATGATAGTTGATTCAGATTCTTCATTTGACGAGCTCAGCATAATGAAGGGTCTTTTGATAAAGGGCCTATCTTCCTTTCTGCCATTTCTCGCAGGATCATTAAAATGTGATTCAAAAAAGCAAAACTCGTGCCACCATATACGAGCAAGCCATAAATATTTATTGGCTTTATATTCTACTGATAGTGTTTGAGCAAGATCGCAGTTGGTACATAGTATCTCATTCTTGAAATTATACCGCAATGCCTCCCTAATTTCGATTTTTCTATCTGAATGAGTAAAAAAATTCAAGTTAGCATCTACACGGACAGCAGGATTCAAGTTTTAAAAAAATATCAAGAATATTGACACAAAGATTAGAAGCACTTCTATTTTTTTCAAAACTTATTAAGGTAATTTTATCTGAGTTTAAAGTTATTTAGTCAAAGCCAGGATGAAATAATTGTCAACTCAAATTGAAAGTTCTCGAAATTTGAGGTATCGCACGAAATATTTGTATCTTCGGCAAAACGAAACACATTTGAATTTGAAACTGCATGATGCATATCATTTGTATAAAGCAGAAGAGGACCTGAAACAGAGCCTTGAGGTACACCTGTAGTGATTGATAGCCAATCAGAGAAACAGTTATTCACATTTACACATTGAGATCTGTTAGACAAATAAATTTCCAACCATCTGAAACAATTTCTACATACTCCATAGCACTCGAGTTTCCTCAACAGAATTGAGCGATCAAGTGTATCAAAAGCCTTTTTTAAATCAATGAAGAAAATACCTTTTTTGTTTTTATCGACTCATAATCTTATTCGTTCCGTTACTTCTGCTAATGCATCGATTTTTGCAAACTTCTCTCGATAACCAAATTGAAGATGATACAAATTTCAATTTTTTCAAGGTGATTGTACAACGGAGAGTGCAAAATCTTTTCAATTACCTTACTGTAGCTACTCAACAGTGATATTGGGCGTTAATTGCTTACTTTGATTCTGCTATCAGCTTTAAAAAGTGGTAGAACTTTTGCTAATTTAAGGTCTTCTGGAAAAATTCCAGCAGCAAACGAAATATTTGTCAAGTATGTTAATTAAGGTGCTATCACAACAACTTTTAAAGAGAAAAATATTACTATTTTCATCAATCACATAAATTCGTTTGGATTTTAAGCTAGTTATAACATTGATTACCTCAAAAAAAGAGCAGGTAAATAGATACGTTGATTGACTTGCTATATCAATTTGATACATAGGATTAACTTCCACATGATTTCATTTCTGAGCCAATTTGGTGCCAACAGTTGAAAAAAACTCATTAAAAGCGTTAGCTATTGATGGAAAGTCAGACATACTTCTTTCATCTAATTCGAGTAATTTGACTTTTGTGGTTTTAGGACTTGTACATTTTTTCATTTGAAATCTTATACACTTGTCTCGAGTCTCCAATAAAATTACTAAACTTACGGTAATAACACGTTTTTTGGCCTGTCTGATATTTTTTTCTACTTCCCGACGTTCATTAAGGAGTTTATTGTTTTTGCCGATATTTCCCTTTTCTGATTTCAATAATTTGTAAAATTGATTTCTTTTCAAGATTGAATTTTTCAAGCTTTTATGAAACCAAGGATCTTTCTCATATGGGAGCAAACACATTGAGAGATTTCTGGAGGCGTAGATTAAATTTATGGTAGACTAGGCAGTGTTAAGGTTTGCATCATTCATTAGGTTGGAAAACTCCAAGTTTTGTTTTGGAACACGCGGGAATTCATTCATTTGATTTGCTGTTGTTACAAAAGACAAATCAGGGTAACAATAACCCGATGAATGATTTTTCACTGAAAACAAAACTTTAAGATTACTGGATAGTGGTCGTAAAAGAATTCCACTTTCATTAATTCAATGTTAGGATATTCCAAATTTCGGAAAATTAAAATGATCTAAACATGTTGCTGAGGAATCACTAATTCGAGTTACAGACTTATTCAATAGTTCAAAGCCATTGGCTGTCAATGAATCAAGGGAAGATTGCTGTAAATTGTTACTCACATTACTAAAAGTTTCGATATTGAAATCTGCAGCTAAGATTATTGGTAAATTAAATCGAGAAAGATTTCCTAATTCTTTATCAAGCTCATCGACAAATTGAATTTTATTGAAGCGTGGTCGAACATCAGCTTATCGCAATTATCAATTCATTTCCACCAATTTCAACAAGTTTTGAGTTGGATTCTGGCAAACCACTATCAAGTTATTGAATTAAATTTATTTTTCGTCAAGTTGTATCATAGTTGATTGGTAAATTAAATCGAGAAAGATTTCCTAATTCTTTATCAAGCTCATCGACAAACTGAATTTTATTGAAACGTGGCGGAACATCAACTTATCGCAATTATCAATTCCTTCACCAATTTCATCAAGTTTTGAGTTAGATTCTGGCAAACCACTATCAAGTTATTGAATTAACTTTATTTTTTCGTCAAGTTGTATCATAGTTGATTGGTAAATTAAATCGAGAAAGATTTCCTAATTTTTTCTCAAGCTCATCGACAAACTGAATTTTATTGAAACGTGGCGGAACATCAACTTATCGCAATTATCAATTCCTTTCCACCAATTTCAACAAGCATTGAGGTGGATTCTGGCAAACCTCTATCAAGTTAATCAATTAAATTAATTTTTTCATCAAGTTGTATCATAGTTCCACCACCTCTTGTTACACAAACATTCGTGATAACGGTGTGAAAACCTTCGATTCTATATATAGAGATCGTCATTTTCATTTAACCAAAATTCTGTTAAACATAATATACCAATAGGCGACTCAAGACTACTTAGAAATGCTCGCACATAACACTCACACATAACTCAGCTGTTGATTTTCTCTCAATAATTTTTTCTTTCATATTAAACTGATTTTCGCAGTCCTTTTCGCAAACTGGACAATTATTGGCCTACTCTTGGTGCCGCGCCCTGTGAGTCAATGCGCAATAGATAAATCTTTTTCATCAATAGTCGCATCAATTTGTTTTGCTCAGTCAATCACCTTAGTCAGCGTTATGTTCCTGTTCATATTATTTGCGATTTTCAGATTGCACAATTTCCTCACTTAAGCCGGTTATTCTTACATTATCTCGCCGACCATGCAGCTTCCGATAGAAATTGTAGCTTTGAAATGTTCGCTTGATCTGTAAATTTTTCTTCCACCACAGAATGTAATTTACTTCTGAAGTCCACCATTGCTTCATCAACTAAACGCTTTATTGACTCGTTCATTTCTGTACGGATCGTTTAAATAACTTCAATTTTAAGTCTTTCCATTTGTTTTGAGATGATCGTTACGGTTGTCTGGATGATAGTTGATTCAGATTCTTCATTTGACGGTCTCAGCATAATGAAGGGTCTTTTGATATAGGGCGTATCTTCCTTTCTACCAGTAACAAGGAATCTCAAGTTAAGCATTTCTTTCAATGGGGACTGGTTCTTGTCCAAATCCATTTTCAGTTATCTGAAACTATTGAATAAGTTTATCACAACAATGAAGCTAATAGTTTAATGGCTTGATTTGCCCATTAACAAAGTCATTGGAAAAACGGTAACCGCTTGATTTGTTCATGACCTACCTTTTCGCATCCAATAGAGAAGCCAGTGCCGCAGACAGACATCTCGCTCCGGATAAAAGGAGAAGAATCTACCCGAAACATCGCCGCGTGTAATATTCTCGATACCTGAAAAAAATAACAAATAATTATGCATCACAATTTTTAGGTATCAATCCAAAAACTTCCATCATCATTAAGTACCTCGTATCAAATCTTCGTGATTTGAACCGGCGACACTCCGGGATATCAAATACTCCGGCAGAGGAGCAAGGTTATCGCGTTGGCGACAATTTATTCTACGAGCAGCATAGTAATATTGCACATTATAGCCCATAATTTTCTGAAACATTAAACAGAAAGCCCAATAAGTTAAATTCTGAAATCAATTCTGAAATAATAAGAAGCCTAGTAATGCTCATAAATTAGTCAAAATTTGATGTTTCCCAGTACGCATCGAATTTAAAATGTCTAAGAATTTTAATGGCTTAAAAAACAAGATTCACCACTTAATCAACGCACCAGTACATGAGTAACTGCAGTTGGTCCGCAAGCCGAACAGTTCATCTGGTTCTGTAAATTAAACTCAACTAATGCCAAGTCGTACAACACACACGAGTCATCAACTTCGTGATCAGTTTGAGTTGAGCTGCTAGCCTGTGACTCGGATTCTTCGGCAGCCGAGACTGATATTTCGAAGTCTTGGAGATGTCCGTTTAGACCGGCATGGTTCGGATCGGACCCATTTGACATTCCTGGTTGGTGTCTACGAGCTCGTCTGGAGCTCTTACAGTAGTTGAAAGGACGATCCCGATGTAGCAATTTGTCGTCTTTTTCGGCTTGCTGCTCAAAACAAATCGCGCTGAGCAAAATTTAAATGGATGCACGCGTTCATATTACGCAATGAGTAATTTCAAAAACATATCCTTTAAAACATAGCAACAGACAGTTGGAAAAAATCAATGAACACATAAAACAAAAACAATTTACTTTTTTTTTTTGAAAACTTCGACTTTCAAATTTGAAACAAAAAAAATATGCACTTTAAACTCTTTGAACTTCAAGAGCAATTTATAGTTAGCCTTTTATTGATAAAGTTAAACCAATTTGAGAAAACTGGGTTGTTTGGAAAAGTTTTTAACCGCTGGGAAATCTTAAAATGAAATTCCAGTAGAAAATTCAAGTGGAAATCGATCACGTTTTTGCAGTTTGCGTACTTTCTAGCACATGAACTTGAATTGAACTCAAAAAGTACGAAAGGGTATTCATTTGTGCATTTATATGCATGAAAGCACTTCTTTTGTTATCAGAGCATTTTAAGACTTTTCCTGAGAACAAAACATCACGACCTATATAAGAGTCTGAACTACGTTCATCGACTCTTTAACAAGAATAAACAGAGGCGAGCACTTCGCTTCGCAAACACAAGCAAAAAGCGAGAAAAAATAGCTCTTATTAGGTCAAACACTAAAAAAAAGCTATGAGAAAAAACTCTGCTAGGTTCCGGTATCGAAACCTTGAACTCCAGATTAGGAACCACACGTCCTAGCATCAGCGCCATGGTCACTTCAATTTTCAAACAAAAGCCACCAAAAATACAATCAAGATATGATGTTATTACAGTGAAAAATAGACTAGGGGTCCAGCCACAGCTAGAGGTAACTATTTGATAAATTTAAATGACCTGATCGAAATGTCATGCGTAATTTTCAAAACGTCAAAAATTTCTTGGCTGAAGATTTATCGAAAGTACTGAGAAAATCTTTTAGCGAGGGAAATCAGTAAAACATCTCCGTTCGATTGATTTTTTAACTTCAAACTTAGCATTTTGGAGAAATTGAGCTATGTCCAAAAAATGGGTCAATATGTCACTTATTGGAAGTTTACCAGATCCATAGCAGATTTCATGCCAGAATTGGTAGAACCATCATCTGCAGGGGATATACCTACAACCTGCTCTTTGCATTGAACTCTTATTTGTACAATTGGCACGGTAGTTTCCGAGCAAATCACAGGGTTTTTGAAAACATGGCAAAACTAATTGTCTACAAAAAGTTAGTAAGTAACTGCTTATGCAGACAGAAATGCTGTTAACTTTTCTTACGATTGAATCTTTAATCTCAGTTTTGGCAAAATATTTATAGAGAAAAATCGAAAGTTTACAAAAAACATTACTTTAACTCAATTATCCAATGAGGATTCCTAACACCGTTTCTTACGATTGAACGTTTGACTATTACAGATTTTTTTCGGCACGGTAGATTTCGTGGAAAAAAAATGCTAAGACACGATCAAAAGTTCAAAACTTGGGCATTTTCTAAGGCCATAATTATTTTCTACAAAAAACAAAGTGTAGCAGCCTCTACAGGCAAGACTACAAAATATTTTCTCTTGTTTGAAGTCTTTGATGACTTCAGATTCTATGTGGTAGTTTTTGAGAAAATGAAAAACAAAATTCAAAAAATGCATCAAAAATCCCCCCAACTGCAAGTTTCGAACGCCGTGTGATTCGTTTAAAAAAATAGCAAAATCTACGGCACGCAGGGTACTAGACGGTCTTTCCATCAATCTTTTAACCAGTTTTGTGAAAATAATGGTGCCACCAAAAGTAGCACCAATATTTGCGTCTTGACTTTCAAAAAAAGTGATTTCGTATTATGACACTACGCTGCGCATGTGTAATCACGGTATTCCCGCAGAAACGCTTAAATATGTAATCGAAACTTGTTCTAGAACTTTACCTCTAAAAAGTTATTTCGGTATCATTTCTCAGTGGACACTACACTTCCGAGCAAGATGTCAAATACAATATGTCAAAGATTTGTTAGCTTTGTTGGAGATTGTTTTACTTGATCTTACACAGCGAACTCACCATGTAGAATGTTCGGGAGAAGTTCTGCAGATCCCACTCTGCATTGGATGTGCCTTCCCAAGTGGAGAGCAAATCTACTCTCTGCTGCTGCTGCAGACTGACCCCCAGTGCTCCATGCTCACTCACATTAGGTTCAGTTGGACCCTGGAACCAGTTCAAGAAAGTCAATCAACCAGTTCAAGAAAGTCAATCGGCAGTGAAAGAGAGATATCACAGGAAAAAGGGCCTTACTTTCCAACTCTCAGCTGAAACATTGATTCGAGGCCCAGCTTGGTTCGTACTAAACACTTTTGGGAGAGGAAACATTGCTGTCAGAAATAATGCTCAAACGACTCAAAAATTTAGTGACATGACAGATGGTTTCCTAGATTAGTTTGTATATTGGTCTTTCCCCTCTCGTATAAATAGTCCTACTGCCTCTCTGGCTCAATCTGGAGGCGGAGGGTTGGGGGCCAACCATGATACGTCCGCACTTGCAGCTTGAGTGTTCATTTACCAGTCAAGAGAACATGAGTTGCCTGAGGTTTTTAATCAAGAGCACAACGGCAGTTCTCCAAACAATGCCTGTTTATTAGCTCGACGCAATCAGCCGAAAAAATCTTGATGCATTATCGTGCTCGCGCGGAGTTAATGATATATTTTTTACACAGACGAAACACAAGCGAGAAAAGGGTCCAAACAATGTAGAACTAAGCAAAAATGTGATGTACCGGAATCGAACCCGTAATTTTGTGAACCTTCACCATGGTCGGTTGACAATCGTAAAATGGCGAGTGTTTCACGATTGTCAACCGAGCATGGCGAAGATTCTCTCTCGAGGTTGGGGCTTCGATTCCGGCCTCGAACTTATAAAAAAAACTATAAACACCCAACTTATAAAAAAATTATACAAAGATATCATGCTATGCAGCAAAAGCAATCCAAGTATAAGGCTATTGCTGAATAAGTGATAAGTACCACCAATTAAGGGAGAACTTATACTTGGGTTGGAAAAGAGTGACTTCGTAATAGGCCACTACACTCAATGTATAAACAAACGAACCTCTACGACAGAACTCCTATTTCCATGTCGTTCTCCATTCGCAGCAGTCTCAGATCCGCTACTACTACAAGCAAACACCGCCGAATCTCCATTTGACCTTGAAATAACAACTGACGCCGGTCTCTCAAAACTATTTTGAATTGAACTGATGTCATTCACATTATTAGACTGTACGTCAAACTCCTCGTGATCACTTGTTGTTAACTCGGCGTCTCCAAACTCGGCTGATCTTTCGGCTGGAGGTGTGTTCTGTCGAATGGATTCAAATATTTCACCTCGCTGCTGGTCGGCGTCGGGAGATGTCGATGTAGTGTATCTGTCTTCGCTGTACCCGTGATATTGATGCTGGGAGTCTCTGGCTTCGTTAGATGATGTCACTGGAGCATTGGAACCAGAAGGTGCGTCTTGTCTTTCTTCACCTGAAGTGACAAAAAAATTTTCTGACCATCTGTATTTTTGAATTTTAGTAATAAACATAACCAACATACAGTTGGAAAAGAGTAAAAGAACGCAAAGGAAAGGAAACAAAAAAAGCAAAAAAATACCTGGCCTTAAAGCTCTTTTAACTTCAAGAACAATTCAACGCACTTTTTTGATAAACATAAATCAATTTGAGAAAACTGAATAGGTAAAGTTCTTGTTCCGCAGAAAAATATGAAAACTAAAATCCTCTTTTGAAAGTAAAAGTCAGTCACGTTCAGTAGTGGAGCATGCTTCCTTTTAACAAAGGAAATGAACTCAACGAAAAAAAATCAAAAGTCAAACCCCGAAAAATCAAATTTGCGCGCGAACAAACTTTCAAGAATTTCTCCTGATTAAAGAAATATCACGACCTATATAAGAGAGTGCATATGTTCATCGAGTCTTAGAAAACCTGCTTACTCTGATCATTATTAAGAGCTGAAGCATTCGAAACAGAAACTGTTCTCAGATGTTCGGTTGTCTCAGTGACTGAGAAGTTTCTAGACATAGACGATTGAGAATACACGACATTCATAGCATCTCCCAACTGGACCTCAAAGTGCTCGTGTTGGTGAGAGGCTCCTCGCCTGTACAACTCATGTGATCTATTTCTGTCGTAGCTGCTCATTGAATTTCTTAAATTGGGAGACGCAGGAAGCTGGTCTCCGTCTGCATCATGATCACCCTAAATTGTATCAAAATTACCAGCAACTGTCATGATAATTTTCTGTCGAAGAAAACTTTTATCAGTTCGAACTTCGTTTTTATGAAATTGGTAATTTACGCCAAGCTCACTTGGAAGTTTTCAAGGCATAGTAAAATGATGAAATTATTCAAAAGAAAAATTGAAAATAGCCAACATAATAATGGAAAAGTGTCAACAAAAAAAAATGACTCAAAAATTTCAACTACTGAGTTATACCGCAAATACATAGCACTTAAATTCTTTGAATTTCAATTACCTTTTTGGATTGAAATAATTTTTTGATAAAAACAATCCCACTTTAAGACAAAAAGGATCAACAAAGAGGAAAAACAACCAGGCGGAGCTTCGCAACACTTCGATACATCAGAAACATGGCCTTGTAAGATAGCAGACAAAAGATAAAGTCGAAGGAATTATCTTCAAATTCAACTGCAAAAAGTTCACATAATTGTCTCGGATGATGTTCCATAAGAGGAAAACCTGTCAATGGACATAACCAACGCCGTTAAGCAAGCATTCACAATTATTTATTGAGCGACAAAAAAGCTGACTTTACTTGTCTATGTTGATTACTTAACTTGGCTATGTTAATAAACGTTTTAATGTCTATTTCTCTTGCTCCTTTGACTTATTTGTAAACGAGCAGATTTGTTGGCTTTTGATGGTAACTTTGAGCTGCTTAACTTTGAAGTGTAATTGTTGGAAACCAAAAACAAGAACCCATGGAAAGGAAACTTAAAGAGTAATGGTTCATCACATCATTATCATGGCGACCTCTTCGCATCTTTGAGTCAGTTTCGCCCCCCAAACAGGCAAATCACCATCTTCAGGCAACTCGCCATTTTAGGCAACTCGCCATTTCAGGCAACTCAACCAGGCAAATTGCTATTTTCAGGAAATTGGCCATTTTCAGGCTGAGTTCTCCAAGGATTTTGCCAAAAAAGACCACTAATCAGGCCAAATCGCTTCAAACACTAATTTAAGTTTCTCTTAACAGTTAAGACTGAACAAGTCCTCCTTATATTTATGATCAATAAAACAGCTGCCCATAAAAATTTGTTGCTTTAGAAATTTACCTTGAAAGTGATGACATCATCTGAAAAAAGAACAAATATAAACTCTATGTCACTTATAATTTGTTTTAGATTTTTACTAATGTGATTCAGTAAAAAAAAACCGTACATCTACATTTTCTACATCTGTTGTTTAACTTCATACTCTGAAAAAAAACGCGGGGTAAAAAAAATTAGCGGATTATATTTCATTTTCTCGTCCAATTTAAGAAAGCACTTTTAATCCTAATATCCTCTTTTTCTACCGAAACCACATTAAAAGAATTTTAACCGAAAGTTTCGCGAAATCTCAACAAGTGATTTCATCTGAATAATCATTCCATTAATCATGTGAAAGAAGTTTCTGTTTGTTTTGCAACTTGCGAACACTTTGTGTATCCGATTGATCAAGAAAATTTATGTCAGATTTATAAACAACTTTTAACTATTCATTGAAAAAATAGAGCTTAACGTTTTTTGGCAAATATCGCGCCCTTTTAATTTTCTAATTTGTTCATCAGATCAAACTATCTTCCTACAAGTTGGCTCCGTCCAGCTTTTTTCCTGCTTTCTAGTCGTCTAGCTATCCACAATTGTTCGTAGGAGCAAACATTCCTCTGGGAAAATGGTTCCGTCCAGCTTTTTACCTCTTGCTAGTCGACTCACGCTTTCCTCATTTGTTTGTAGGAGCAAACATTACTGTTAAAATGTGATTCCGTGCAGCTTTTTTCCCGCTTACTAGTCGTCTCTAGCTTTCTACGTTTGTTCGAAGGAGCAAACATTCCTCTTGAAAGTTGGTTCCGTCCAGCTTCTTTCTCGCTCGCTAGACGTCTCTACCTTTTCTCATTCTATTGTACGGGCAAATATTTCTCTTCAAAGTTGGTTCTATCTAGCTTTTTCTCGCTTGCTTGTTGTCTCTAGCATTCATCGTTTGTTCGTAAGAAAAAATATCGTCTTGAAAGTTGGTTCTGTCAAGCTTTTTTCTTGCTTAATATATATATATACAATTTTAGCTTGATACATATACAGATATATATTCAGTTTTTTTCTTCATATTAGTGCCGTTTCTTTTCTGCGTGATATGATAAAACGAGTTGAACGAAACGCTTGAACTTAAGAATATCCGAGAGTCATAGTAAAAAAAAGCAAAAAGTTGATAAAAATGACAAAGAGAAAGAAAAAAATTAAGAATATCCGTGAGTCATAGTTAAAAAAAGGCAAAATTTGAGAAAAATGACATAGAAAACGAAAAAAAAATAATAAAAAAAAAACGATTAACTTTGTTGCATCAATTTTTTTGGATTGTTTGATAATTTTTTCAATTTCGAGAAATCCCTAACAAACTCCTAAAACAACTTTACTGAAGCAAAACTCAGTTTCAGAACTTAAATTAACCAAAATTAAGCATTTGTTAGCCGGCTCGCTCGCATCATTCGCTCGACTATTAATTTTAAAAATTTTATCCTGCTCGCAATACTGGGACAACTTTGAGGAAAATTTTGTCATGTTACTCGAATCACGAATAACAGGACTTCAATAAGATATATATTACTCGATCCTCTCGCATTTTTGATTGTGGTTCCTGATTTATCCTCGCCTATTTTTAATTGTGGTTCCTGATTTTGCGTGAATGAAAAACAGAAAAGTCTAACACCTCAGTATAAAATTCCTTTTCATTTTTCATATGGCCCGCTGAACAAAAATAATGTATGCAATTTAACTGGGGTCAGAAACAATCACGTTTGCACAGGAAAAAATTTCAAAACATCATCTCAAATTGACGAATGCCGATGATAGCATGAGTCCAGATTCGCTATATCTGTCATTAGAATTCAGTTGCAGACAAGCCAGCAACCCTGATTAATGGCAAAACTTCCTTTCAGTAGTATAAATTGTTAGACAACAGCAGCAGTTGCTCTTATATGTACAAAACTACAGCAGAAAATTGAAAAGAAAGCCCAAGCCATCAGTCGACCTGAAAAATTAAGGAGCTTTCTCGACAGATACAAATCATTTGACCTTGATTAATCTGAGTGTTGGATCAATCAACTCTACGTCAAAACTTTCCACGTAACCAAAAGTTTATTCGGTTGGAAACACAACCCTTCGACATCGTCAACATTCGAAATATGTACAAAATTTGTTCTCAACTCGACCATCTCAGCCACATCAATTACCCAGAACTTGATGATAATTATGTCCGTGTTCTCCTTGGTGTTGATGCTTCATGGTTCATTGCCCGAAGACATAAAGAGGGGTCCTGCTGGAAGCCCATTTGCAACCAGGAATTTGCTTGGATGGACCGCCACTGGTCCTTTTAGTTCCAGATAGACTCTCCTTTCAGATACTCTGCAAAATCTGCTGATTGTTTTTCTCCTTCACATCCAAAAAAAAGATTGATAAGTTACTTAAAAAGATGGAAGAAAGTATTTACGACGATGGAACAAAGTTTAATATTAGCTTACTATGGAAGGAGAATGCGTTGCTACCAAATAACTTCGCAACCTCGAAGCTCAATTAGACTCAAAAAGACGATTAACTAAAGACCAAAGCCTTTTGGATTCAAACAATAAATCTCATGCACCGGTAATTGAGAACAGTTCTGAAAAACTAGTTGTTTTGATAAAATCTAAGCCAATTAGCATCTGGTATTCAACACACCAACAGGTCATAAAATCAAAAAATCTATAAAAAAAATGACCAGTCTCAAATGCTGCTTCACAGATTCAAGATATCCCGTTGAAATCGTGGTTGGAAACTGAATCTGATCTTTGCAGCAACATGTTTGGTCTGCCATTTCTTTTTCGTGAACAGCCAGTCGCAGTATCTGCCGATATCGAGGATATGTTTACGCTAACTGGAATTTGAAAAATCACATCGAAATTCTTGTGGACGACTGAAAAGGGCATTCAGAAATATCAGTATACCAGGTTGAAATTTGGTTCCAAATGTTTGCCTTCGAATGCAATATTTGCATTGAACAAAACTGCAATGCGAAGTGTTTCGCCGCAAGCAATTACAAAACAGCTCAGCTCATTAGCCGAATTTTTTATACGGATGAATTTGTCCATCCGTTTAGGTCCATTGAAATTGCTTGAGCGTCTTCTTTGAAAATAACCACGGCACTGAAAAAAATGGATTCAATTTAATTAAGTTGAAACTGGACGTTGGAATTTATTTGACACAAAGAACACTCAGCTTAGTTTGGGACACTGAAGATGAAACTACGTTTCGGAAAACTCAAGTCAAAAACGATTTTCAACGCAACAATATCACACTCCCTCTAATAGCGAGTTATTTGGAGATCTGGAATTTCATGAGAAGAAATATCACTCGAACGATCAATATTGTGGAAAATGGTGCAAACAATGTCAGCAGGGACTTTATGGAACTTCATCGGTACGTAGATGTTACATCGAACACTGCAGATTTGCAGCTGCATGTTTCTACTTATGCAATCCAAAGTGTGATAGCGGCCTGTATCTAAATTCGAACAATAAGCGATTCAAAAATTGAGGCCAATTTTGCCATCGGTCAAATTAAAGTTATCACCACTAAAATAAGAGAGCATTTCGAAGATCGATTTATAAGCTGCTATAATCGTATCACGCACCTGTAAGTTCGTTTTAGATGAAACAAGGTTCGAACCAAGCTCTGTTCTTTACTGTACAGCAGCACTACTGTTCCAGCTTGGCTTAAAAATACTCCAAAGTGCAAAGAGTTCTGCAGCAATAAAGTCAACGCAACTCTTTCGCTTCAAATGACTTTCAAAGGAATACATCTCCGAAAAAAGTAAACCAGCTGATCATGCCTCGATAGGCATCTCTCTTTCAGATCGTAGGCACTAGCTTCAGACCCAAAATTTCTCCTAAAACCGGAACCAGAGTCCTTCAAGCATTCGTTAGTGAAGCACCGTTTGTCCGCTCA